CAATCTAGGATTTTTTTTTAGCCATTGGCTTTATATCCCTTGCATCATCTAAATTTGTTAGGTATTATTGAAGCTCTGGGTTCCCTCTGCTTTAGGGGTGGGTCATAATTTAGCTAAACTAATTTTAACAAGAGCTCTTTCTTGGAGCTAGAAACACGAGTTTACATCTTTATTTCTTATACTTCTTTATGTATCTCATTTCTGCTCATCATTTACTCTGTATTACCCAATGATGTATACATATATTATCTTATCAGGAAACCATTCTGACAAAGTTTGATAAGGATAATACTAATCTATGTTTGTCTTAAGGGACGGAGGCTTACAGATTTGAGCTGAGGGGTTCAAGTTAAGAATCTGGTCCAAGTTTATGTAATTGGCGGGTTGGGAATGGTTCTGTTTTCATTCTAAAATCTTGCATGATGTTTTTGTTTTATTTCCTGACCCACTCTCTGTCTTTTTCCCTTTCCTTTTGCTTTGGTTATGGAGACTAAACTCTGGGCCTTGTGCTTTCTAGGTGAATGTTCTACCAGTAAACTAAATATCATTCCCTTCCCCCACTCCCTTTTCATCCTTTCCAGTTTGTACTTACTGTGGTGCAACATTAGAGGAGTTTAGGGAGCACCATTTTCTGTTTCCTCATTGGTAACTATTTGTGAGGGGTTTTTGTTGTTATTGTTTCTATTTGCTTTTGTTTCTTACTTGTTTTGCTCACCCTTGCCCTCCATCACTTAGAGACACTGGTTGGGAGAGAGAAGCAGAATATCAGCTTACTTTACAGTTAAGTTGTAGCAGGAACCCAAACCAAGTTCCACATACTCTATAAATAGTTGCACTGTCTCAAGGTTAAAATGAAGGGTTAAGGTTAAGATGAAGACTCAAGGTTGAGATGGAGGTTCAAGGTTAGGATGAGGGGTCAAGATCAGGAAGGAGTAGAACTGTCAAAACACCAGAAGAGGTCTTGATTTCTTCTCAACTTGTTTCCTCATAAAAGTCAACCACAGCAATTTCAGGTTTTCTGTTGCTCAGCTGGCTTTGCACTGCTCTTTGATGGAGTCTGAAGTACCAAGGCAATCCATTAGTGAATCTGGTACAGTCTGAACGAAACATGCAGATTTTGTCTTTTAGACTTGGGTCTTCGAATAGGAAAGGGATTTGGTAAAAAGCACTCTTGGGAAGAGCTCCAATTAGATTGTTGTGAGGTTCCTGACTGTTGTAGATGGTTCCAGGTAAACTTCAATCTGTTTATATAAGAAATGCTCTACATGTGATCATGTCTTGAGTCCATTTTATGCTTCTCTCTATTGAGCACTTTCCACAGAATAGAGATCCTTTAGGCTTGAGTTTCCTCCAGAGACCTAGGCGGTGCCCTGGATGAAATGACAGAGTCTAGAGATCCTCCATGGAGGGCCTCGCCCTCCCTGGGGATTGGAGTAGAGATTGGGTGGGGGACTGGGGAGCCTGGTGGGGGGGTTGGGGAGAAGGGGAGGGAGAGGGAGCTGGGATTGACATGCGAAGCAAGCAATTTCTAACTTAAATTTTAAAAAGGGAGGAAAAAAAGAAAGAAAGAAGTCATTTAAGGGTTATTTACTATTTTATACTAATAGCAGACAGTGCTTTGTAACACATGTAGTGTTTACGTATTCATGGTCTCACTAATACACGGTGATTGTGATTAAGTTCAAAGCCATGCACTAGTAAGACGCAAGACTCAAGAATCTAGGTTTCTTGATCATGTGAACACTTGTTCTTTAAGTAGACAGTATCGACTCTAGAAAATACATAAACTAGCTACTATTCTCTTCTCTATGAGTCTATGTACCACATGGGGAAGAACAGAACCTTAGAAAAGTCAGCATAATTGAAATTGGGATTTAAGACCTTTAATCTCAGTGTTGCTGATTCTTTTGTGAAAGCAGAGCCTTTTCCTGCAACCAATTACTTTAAATCCAAGGTTGGCAAATGACTTTAATCGTTGAACAAATGAACCTTTAAGAGCTGCTATTGCTTGTAAAACACAGGAGATAAGTATTATGTTTTGCCACTGTTTGACTCTGCTGAAAAGAGAACACAGTAGAAGGCAACAGCTATATGAACAAGTGCGGCTGTATGAAATTTGAATTTCATATAATTTACATACATGACAATATATCCTTCTTTTGTTTCTTTTCAAATTCAGACACATAAAATCATCTTAACCACTAGGCAGTATCCAAAGAGGTGGCAAGCCAGTCTTAACCTAAAGCCCCTAGTTTGCCAGTCTCTGCTTAATGTAAGGAGAGATATAGAAGGTGTTTTTAACTTGTGGCAGGAGTGAGAAACAGAGGAGAAGACTGGTCTTTCTGTGGTTAAATTGAGGTGGCTGATGCTTTCCAATAGTGGACTGGACATTTTTTCCCTTACTTTATTCAGAAGTTGTTATCCTTCTTCATTTCTCTTATCTGCTATGAGAAATTGTATAACTATTATGTGCTTCAGTTATCACCAGTCATATCCAGTATGGACAAAGACTTTTGATCTGTGCCCTGTCTCGTGTGTGTGTGTGTGTGTGTGTGTGTGTGTGTGTGTGTGTGTGTGTGTGTGTTGATCCCATCCTATAGTTTTTCTTGATGTGAGTTTCAGTTACTCATACAGTGGTGTATCTCCTAGGTTCTAACCCTGAGCTAGGCAAGCAACATTCATTTTGAACATGTTAGTAACTGGTGAGGAGAAAACTAGGAACAATATCCTATGAGATGAATTTTAAGGACTACAGTTGTAGTCTTCACATTTTATTAAGTAAATGTTCTTGTGCCCCTGAGCTTATATGGTTTTTCCAACTGGCAAAGACAGGATTTTTAGTTGGCATTCAGTCACTAACCAACATCCAGAAACTGAAATTCTCTAAAGCTCTTAAATCCTATGATAACAAACCCCTTCCCGGGAGATTTCTGAGAACTTTTCCTACAGTACTAACAGCCTGTCTCAGAGACTGTCTGGAGTTTCTGTAGCAAAATGGGAGGGGCCAATTTAAATATGACGAATTTGAGAGATTTGTTTCAAGTTTATTGGTTTCAAAGTTGCAGGTCTTACTTGCTTGTGTTCAGAAACAGGCAGGGTTATGTGAATGCTACTTCTGGATTGCTCTTTTCCTGTTGTTCTAAGCTTATTTTAGCCTTTGGTTTCTACCATTCCTGACTTAAGTCAATAGAGGTGGATATGACCTTAACTTGGGATGGTGAAATCTAGCGGTGGGCTGGACTTGCACCTTTACAGCTCTCTCCCCTTAGCTCAGGCCTCCTGCCCAGCATGTAGGCTTATGCAAACTTGTAATAAACAAGTCATGAGAGAGCCAAAGTCGCTCTTTGATTGATTTTATGTAGCTTATTCAGGCTTGGAATGCTTGGGTTTAAAACGAGTGTTGGTGGAGACTTGTGTTCTAGAATGAAAAACTGAAGTCTTCCCTCTGCCAATTTTGTCCTCCTCAAAATAAATGACCATAGTGATCCTAACTGTAATTTTCAAAAATCAGAAAAACAGAACAAACAACTGCAACAAGAACAATGGACCATTTTTTTTATTATTTGTAAGAGAGTTCTTCTACTTAGTAGAATAACAACAACAAATTTAAAACTGTAATTTAGGTGCAAATTCACTGGAATTATTTAAATTTACTTCTAGTTTTATGTGCATACAATATTTAAATTAATAAATTCCAATACTGCATTAAAAGAACTGTTTTCAGCAATCTTCACTAGTGAGGAATTTTTTTCAGAAAACAGTCATTGATAAAGTTGAAAGAGATAGGTTTTTAAAACATTGGGATTCCTTAGATAGTGAATTGAGTGATCCATAGTACATATAATAAAAGTCTTCAGCTCCTCAGAATCCATGATTCTACAACTTATTTATTTCTTCAAATATTTTTAAGGATTTGGAGACTTGTTAAGATTGCCCATTTTGATTATAAATGTGATTGAATGTCAGTTGATGATGGTACTATACACGGCAGACATCAGGTAATATGATCACATACACTAAAATGGCTATAAAACCACTAGATGGTATGATCTGATGAGGCCACCAGCACACAAGTCACCCATCTTTGACTAAAATATCATTGAGTTGCATGAGTTAGTACCAAGAAGAGAGCTAGAACTGATTTCAGAAAACAGAATTTAGGGAAAGTAAACAACACCTTAGGGGATGGGGTATTTATTTTGCTCCTGAATTTGAAGGAATATATATGCGTCATGACTGGGAATACATGATCATGGGAGCTTGCTACAGTTACTGACTCACCTCTCTGTGGATTAGGAAGCAGGGAGGACAGAAATCAATCTAAAAATTGCAAGCCCTGCCTCCTAGGATTCCATTGAGGCTCCATACACTACAGGTTTCATAAACTTCCAAACCAGTGCCACCAATTAGAGACCAAGTCCACACAGAGAAAACCACAGAGGACATTTCACACAAAAACTTTAAGAGGCTGTCCAGGGGTTCATCACATAGCAACTCTGGTCAATTTACATCTGTTAGGGCTTTGCTGCATTTAATGTAAAAGAGTACTATGTCCCATTAATAAGAGTTGTGGTGATCTTATCCAAGACGATTTCTGCTGCTGTAACAAAATACCTGAGACTGGATAACTGATAATGAATTTTATTTGACCCACATTTCTAGAGGCTAGGAAGTTCACGGTCACCTAATAGAGGCTTGTATATACACTATGATGAAGAAACAGAAAGCCAATCACAGACTTGTGACAGGACAATGAGATTAACTGGGAAACCAGGACAGGCTGATTATCTACACTCCACTAACATTTGAGTGGGCCTGCCTAGCAGTGTATTGAGCTTGATGGAAGTCTATCTATACTGGGCATGGTATGCAGAATCGTCCGTCAAATTTGTCCCATTTTCTGAAGGAAGTTTTGTGACAACAAGGCTAAGAGTATAGTAATAAGCTCCTGAGGTCCTATCACAGTTCTCTTTAAATCATTCCCTCCTTTATCTTTGCAGGTGTGTGATTCAGATACCATGCTGGACCCCGCCTCATCTGTGGAGATGGTGAAAGTTTTAGAAGAAGACCCTATGGTTGGAGGTGTTGGGGGAGATGTCCAGGTACATGTGGCGTCATTGTTCTTGTATGAAATAGTTTTAATAACACTCATACATTGATTCATTTAATGTTTATTGGTTCAATGTTCTGTGGTCTTGGTACTGGACAATTATGAGAACATGCATCAAATAAATTTTAATCCTGATTTTCTTACCTAACTTGAAATAATTTGGGATATCTATGCTTACCTCTGGTGTTAAACATGTATTCATCATGACTTATAAGTTACACATGATGCAAATGTATAGATGAATAGTGATTTCCACCAGACACCCTCAGGCCACAACTTAATATTCAATACCCTGCTAAAATCTTATATCGAAGTTATTTAGTAACAGAAATAATGAAATGGAAGTATATTCAGGAGTGGATGATATAATGTATGCCTCTGCATTTAGAAATCTGGCCACACTGTGTTAGGTTAAAATTACAGAAAGAAAGATCTAAAGAGATACCTGAATTGTTAAGAGCATTTATAGCCTTTGCGGAGGACCTGGCTTCTCTCAGCATCCAGCACTCACCTGATGACTCACAACCATCACAACTCCAATTCCAAGAACTCTGTTGCCATTTCTGGTCTCTGTGGGCATGGCGCACATACAATGAACATACACCCAGACAGGGAAAACACTCACACATATAATTTTTTTAAAGTATAGACTGATAAACAAAGGAGAAAAAGAGAAATGGCAATTCAAATTTACATCAGTAAGAATAGACAAAGACACAATTAATAAGTGGCCCATCATTTATTAGCAATGGAGAAACAATTATTAATGACACAATAATAAAGCTCTTGGACAGAAATTTAAGTATGTGGAAATATGTAAATTATAAATCAGAGTCCCTTAAAAGTATGATATTCAGTTTTGATACCAGATGAGAAGTACAAAGAAAATGAACCTCAAAATGAAGATTAGTATTATGTGACCACGTATGCATGCGTGCTACTAAAATGAGATATCATATTAGGGAAAACAAAGAAATAGCCTGGTGATTAAAAAGAGGAGAGAAGCATATGGAATTCAGATAGATTAAATATTTTCCGGGGAGTCTTTTATCCCCGGCCTTATTAAATGGAGAAGGAAAATGAGCAGATAAGGATTGGAAGCATGGAAGCAGAAGCATCTAGGACTTTAAACCCTTCAACATTAGATAGTAATTTACAAAAGCACATCGGGATAAATTTAGGAACTGGTTATTGACGCTTAAAAGTATACCTCAGCGTTAGTGCCCAACAGAAGAATATAGCAAGAAGATGAGAAAAAAGAGGCAGGAAAAACTCCATTAATATATAGACACATATACCCAACCAATCAATCTTATCTCATATTATTATATATAATATTCCATAATGCAAAACCAGAGAAGACAAGAGAAGGGAAGGGCAAAAGGAGGAGAGGAACCTAACTGGAGTCATGCCAGGCAGTGATCTAAGGGGGCGACGGGGCTTCTGGGTGCTATTAAGCCAAAGCAAACTTTCATTTCTATTTATTTATGTATTTATGTATGTATTTATTTATTTATTTTTACTTATTTTCACTTGCAGATCTTAAACAAGTATGATTCCTGGATCTCCTTCCTCAGCAGTGTCAGATACTGGATGGCTTTTAACATAGAGAGGGCCTGCCAGTCCTATTTTGGTTGTGTTCAGTGCATAAGTGGTCCTCTGGGAATGTACAGAAACTCCTTGCTGCATGAGTTTGTAGAAGACTGGTACAACCAGGAATTCATGGGCAACCAATGCAGTTTTGGTGATGATAGGCATCTTACCAACAGGGTGCTGAGTCTGGGCTATGCAACGAAATACACAGCCCGGTCCAAGTGCCTTACAGAAACACCTATAGAGTATCTCCGATGGCTGAACCAGCAGACGCGTTGGAGCAAGTCCTACTTCCGAGAGTGGCTGTACAATGCCATGTGGTTTCACAAGCATCACTTGTGGATGACCTACGAAGCTGTTATCACTGGATTCTTTCCTTTCTTTCTCATCGCCACAGTCATCCAGCTCTTCTACCGGGGTAAAATCTGGAACATCCTTCTCTTCCTGTTAACTGTCCAGCTAGTGGGTCTCATAAAGTCATCTTTTGCCAGCTGCCTTAGAGGAAATATCGTTATGGTCTTCATGTCCCTCTATTCAGTGTTGTACATGTCAAGTCTACTTCCGGCCAAGATGTTTGCCATTGCAACCATAAACAAAGCTGGGTGGGGTACATCCGGAAGGAAGACCATTGTTGTTAATTTCATAGGACTCATTCCAGTGTCCGTGTGGTTTACAATCCTTCTAGGTGGTGTGATTTTCACCATTTACAAGGAATCGAAAAAGCCATTTTCCGAATCCAAACAGACTGTTCTCATTGTGGGGACGTTGATCTATGCGTGCTACTGGGTCATGCTTTTGACTCTGTATGTGGTTCTGATCAATAAGTGTGGCAAGAGGAAGAAAGGACAACAGTATGACATGGTGCTTGATGTATGATCACACGGTGATGTTTGCAATCACACATGGGGACACACACACACACTTCTTAGCTCCTCAAGGGGTTGTACAGTATTGTGGCATCTCACCCTGCCACCACAGGAGACATATCACTGCTGCTGGGACTTGAACAAAGACGTTTGATGGGTTGATTTTTGATTCTGCCAAAGTAAATTGATACATCAGTAAGAAGAAACTCAGATTTAATCCAAATTTTCTGGGAACGTTGGGATGACTTCTTGGTTTCATGCACTTTTCCCTTACTGTGCATCCAAGTGACAGTGTTTGATCTATATACCTCACTAGCCATGCTTTATGTGGGTGATCATGGAAGAAAAGCATTCAGAAAACTCAAGGGAACACTTTTTCAACCTATACAACCTAACTTATGGACTGTTTTGATAGATGATTTTTCTTTCTTTCTTTTTTTAAGGAAAACTGTTTGTCTTTAACTCTACCAAATGAAATGCCAAAGGAGAATTTAAAGGCCACTGGCTATGCTGTACTTTGATATAATTGTACTGTGTTTTTACATTTTGTATGCCAATTTAAAAAAAAACAGATTTCACATCATAGTCTATATTTTACTTCTCTGACAAAATATGCATTTCCTTTTCTTTTTATAATAAAATAGGTTCTAAAAAATCCATACTACAAAAATTAACCTGCCCAAAATGTGAAGCTTTGTTGACCGATGTTCATGAAAGAATAAAATGGTTCTCTCTTTCTCTACCTTTTACAATTGAATAGTTGTTTTCTGTGAAAAAAATGTGCAAACTTTCAATATTCTAACCTTTTGTTTCTTCTAGAAAGGGCCAACATACATGTCAACTTTTAGGTAAAAATACATTATTCACATGTGCACAAGAGCTAATCGTTAAATTTGAGGCCAAAGGGGTAGAAAAGTGCAATTTTGAATATAAGTTTTTCAAAAGGGAATGCTAGCCTTTGAAAGAAGACACTGGGCACCTTTGTACTGGATATACATGAACATCAAAATTGGGTCATCTGTAGAAATGATGACAATATTTGTGTAGGCCTAGGAAAATGGTAAACTGGTGAAATTTTTTTCTTTTTGATTGGGACAAATATAATGCAATTCATCAAAAGTTTTATTCTGTGACCTGTATGTGGCAGATCTTAACATATATATTAAGTATGTTTCCCCTGCTTAGTGTCTGAGTTTGCCAATTCACTCTGCATGTTGGTGATGTTTACTTGAGTGCATTTAGACTAACATAAAACACAATTCAGAACTGGCACATTTATGATGTTCCAAGTGTCCTCTTTACTTCTCAGGAAGGGTATTTTTTTCTGAATTGTACAGGTAACCTTTTCATCTCTTCCATACTTGGCCTTCCTAAAGATGTCCACAAGTAGAAATGACGTTGAGATTTACTTAGTATTATGAAGAACGGGTACATGCAAGAAGTGACGACCTGGTTCCTCCAAACTTGAGTAATTCAGTTATTAATGGCCCCCATTATTCAATTTGATTTTCCCCATCTTATATCTTGCCTTGTGGCATGGTGCTTGGCTAAGCACGCACTCAGAACACAAGGACAGCTGGGTGAAAAATCGTGGTGGAGAAGCAGACGTGGAGTCAGTGTTCTGCTTCTGTAGCATGCAGACTTCCATCCTGCAACTCACCTAAGGAAAAGCTGCACATTCTACCTGTGAGTACTAAGAGGTTTGTTCAAGTTCTGAAACACTCAGACTCTCACTGCATGGACAGCTAGTGGAAAACAGACACACCCTTGACAATAATGAGACTAAAACTTGAGTTTGCCTTTTTAACTATTTATGTTCTAAGTTAAGCTTTGATAACATTCAAATGTCAAATTTTCTCATTCTTATAAGAAGTTGAATTAATTGCCTTGTATTTATTTTAGCAATTATTCAATGTACTTCCATTATAGGATGTATAGTATAATTGATTTTTGTAAATAAAATATTTTTGATAAGATTACTGTCTCTTTTTTTCTAAGGGAAGGTGGTGGAGCTGTTTATCTGACTGTAATGGTACAAGTCTGAAACTGGGGTGTGTAGAAAAATATCATGACTGGTGAAAGATAATATATCAGCTGATGATTCCTATACTGAGTAGAAATCTTCCAAATTGGTGTGGTTTGAAAATCTGGAAATCCCCAGAGGGATGGAGACAGAGACACCTTATCAACTATCATTAACTTTGTCTCTGAATTCTTCCCCTATGCTTCCTACATAGTTTCCAAAATTTTTATCATATTAATTTTTCATAGCTGGAAAAATTGCAGAAGTGACGAAAAGCAATAAACAAGTTTATCATTGAATTACTCATACAAAACAACAAAACCTTAAAGTAATTAAAATCAAATGCCATTGGGCAACAGTTAAATGGTTTATTAACAGTATATGTTAATATCATAAATAACAGTTAAATGGAATGTTGTCAGCCACTAAAGACACTATCAGAGACTATATGAGAATGTCATACTTGAACTTACATGACCATTTTGTACAGTAGCATCCTAATTTTGTAATGACCAGGGTTTAAATGTGATTATATCTAATTATGGCAATATGGCTAATTCATAGTTTGTATAAACTTTCTGTATTTTTCTAGTATCATACACATGTATTGTCTTTACACAAAGGAAAAGTGTAATAAATGCCATTTTTAAAAAGTAGGTTGAGGTATTGAATAGCATTTGCTTGCTTGAGGAATTTTGATGCTTAATTGTTTTATTTTTCCAGTTATCACTAAAATTCATCTATTTTTCTAAATTATTTTATTGGTTTCTAAGAATCCTTCATTTCTTTGACAATGCTACCATGAAGCTAGATCTACCAGATAGTTGGGATTCGTAGGGACCAGAGATATTCTTGACTATAGTTCTAGAAATTTAACACTCAAGTCTCTTGATACTATAGCAAGGTTTGGCAATCTTGTAATGTAGAAAGACAGTCTATATTTCTGATGTTGATGACCTGAAGGTATGTTATGAAAATTCTCACATCTACTATCTTAGCGCAAAGAAAACATGCACAGGTGATATGTAAATTACTTCATGAGTCTTTGGTCCAAAGCACTTTGATCATGACCATAGAAATTTGGAGGTTTTGAATAATGTTAATATTATAGATCATCTTTATGAAATTTGCAAAACAATGTTACAATAATAAATCAAAGACAGTTCTTAGTTTGTTAGCATTACCAAAGCAGCTATGAGACAGGTTATGCTGAAAACCACAGACTACAGTAGAAGTCACTGGCCACTATTTCTCTACTTGCTTGCAATCCCTTTATATCAATCTTCCTTTCCTTCAGATCTTTTCTGCTTTATCACATGTGCAATATGAATAAGAGAACAGGATATGGTGATCTCTTTGGAAGTTTCCTGTGCCAATTAACTACTGTTCAATTCAACTTCAATCCAGTTCACAGGACATGTGTAGAAAAAAATCCACTTTCTTTGCCAGGACATAACATGAATACCCTTGACCCAGTTCTCTATGGAGCCCTGGCTATCCCTTGAAGCTTCATGACCAGGCATCCACTGTGCACATTTATTAATATCTTAGCATTTTGGTTCTCAGGCTCCCACAGGAACAGCCCATTAAGCTCTGATTACAATATCTTAGGGATTCTTCAGCACAGTCTCCAAACTCCTCTATCCACTACCCCCACTTGCACAGCTGTTCTAAGACAATGAATCACAGGAGCAGGGTTATCCCAGAAGCAGTCAAGTCTTTGCTACCAATTTTCTGTACTTCCCTAACTATTGTGAGAAAAAAAGTAATGTATGTGGCATGTGTGTGTTTGTGTGTGTGTGTAAACTAGAGAAAGGAAGAGTTTATTTTGCTTCACAGTCTATCACATGGAGGGATTATGGAGCAACTGGTCACACTGTATCTATAATTAGGATCACATTGAATCTTCAGTTAGGAAGCGCAGTCATGGGTTCCAGTTGTCAGCTTGATTTGCCCTTTCTATCCCATTCAGAACCATTTCCTATAGGATGGCACCACCCACATTCAGGGTCATTCTTCATTTCTCAGTTAAAGTACTCCAGAGATAACTCTTGTCAAAGCACTTAGTAATATATTGCCATGGTGATCAGAATATATTATCACATGGTCTTGCTGGTTATTTCTTCATTGGAGCTTTTAAACTTTTCTCTAGATCCTCATTAAAACTCTAATACTCTCTTATGAACTGTGTAAGTATCCAGTGTGTGATGATGTCCAGAACAAATTTCATCTCTGACAACTTGGCATCTGACAAAATAGGGCTTTCAGAATGTTCAAAATATTGGGACAGTAGGAGAGAAAGGATGTGACATTGGCACCCAGGGGATTATAGTTCTCACTGCACCTCAGTGTCTTATTTGACACCCTGCTTGTTAGTTTGAAGAGTCTATCCCTACTGCAATATCTTTAGTAATGTTATTGAGATTTAAAAAATAATAACTGAAAGGGGAAGTCATTTGACGTTCAGAGGAAGTCTTCAGATTTTGTTATGGTTGTATTTACGAATGTTGGGAGATACTCAGATTTTTTTCCATGATAGAGAAATGTAGGTCATCCATTCTTCTTGTACACTTCTCTTCAGTCTTACCATGATTGTCCCTGGCCAACCTCTCAGCACCTTGTGCTTATCAGCAGAGACATCTGCCTCTTATCCATTCTTGCTGCTCTTTATTTCCTTATGAAACAGTCAGTGGGAGGGCTTGTCACCCACCTGCTTGGATGGCTTTGTGTGCCATTTTGCTTAGGATGCCATGCTCCATAAGCTTCAATAGATTCACTATTGTCTCTTTTCATAGCTGCTTGCTAAACATGCCTCTTCCTTATTTATTATACACTTGCACTTCGTTTTATTTTTTTCTGTTCCCTGGCTAACACAAGCTTGTTCTTTCTCTGGGTCATGAAGAGCTAATACTTATTTGGCCCAAAGCACTCTTCTCCAAGAAGTTACCATGGTTGATTCCTTCTTGTCATACAGATCACCTCCTCAAGACACCTTACCTGACCATGCTGTGGATTGTGGTACTCTAATCCCCTCCAATGTCTGCTACCACTTTCTTTTACTTTACTCAAAGGTTTGTTTTTTTTTTTATCATTATTGGAAGGTAGAATGTTCATTTATTTACTAGACTGTATGGTAACTCCCTTACTACATAGGACATAAACATCAGAGACCAGAGCCACACTGTGTATCTCAGTGCCAAGAACAGTGCTTGGAATACAGAAAGTGCTAACGAATGTGGCTTAATTCACATACACATGGAGTTGTGTCAAATATCATCGACTTCCCATAAATTTAGTAGTAAAATAACTTATAGTATTATTGGATTTTCCCTTTGCCAGACAATGTCATTTCCATAGAAACCCTTAGAAAAAAATTCAAAACATTTTTCAAAATATGATTACATCATTTCCCTGTATTCCCTTTCCTTCTTCTTACTCCTCCCACCCACACAACTACATTTTCTACCCCTACTCCTCCTGTTGCCTGACTCCCTTCCAAATTCTTCCCCTCTCTTCCTGTATTGTTGCTATATATATATATGTGTGTGTGTATATATATATATATATATGTATATGCATCCATGTATGAATACAACTTACAGAGTCTCTTCAGCATTGCACGTACATGATTTCCTGGCTGATCACCGGTATTATGTATCTAATTAGAGGGTCACTCTGTGGGGGAAGGCTATCCCTTCCCTGTTAGCATGTCTGTCAGTGTTGC